TGAGAGTCTTGTGATGGGCCTTGTGATAGGGAGGTTACATCAGGTGAGGGTCATTGGGAGGTGAAGTTCTGGTTGTGGGGGGTCTTGCATGGGTTGGTTGAGGCTTGGTGCTGTCTCTGGTTGGCTGTCTGGTTAGTTTGGATTCTTCGGCAGAGGAGGTATTCAGCAGGTTCTGACCAGTTCTGGAGAACGGGTAGTGGAAATTTTGAGTATTTCGGAGAACCGGCAAATACCGCCTCTGACTGGAGATTTAACAGTATCCTTCCCCTGCCATGCCCACCAAGCCACGCCCACAGAACCGGTAATAAAAAAAAATTGAATCCCACAGATTGTAAATCTGAGGGGTTCGTGGGCTGGTTGTAGGTCAATGTGTCTGTTGGTGGAATTCAGGCTTCAATGGACTCACAAGCATGGCGGGTGGTAACATGGCTGGTGATTTTTATGTTGCTCCAACTGAACTGGTGCTGTTTGGCGTCAATAGAGATATTTGCCACTACTGCACACTTACTAGGTGTCACTGCCCCTAGTTATTTCAGGGTGGGTTCGGGAGCTCCTTTTCTCCTGTTCTTGATGGAAAAAGCAACACATCACTGCATCTGTGCCTTTCATGACCTTTTCGTCCTAGCCTAGGAATTCACTACAACCCGGAGGAGATTCCATTAGAATTTATTGATAGAAAGACATGGTTGTGCTACCGCCAACAAAAATGAAGAGCTGGCATTTTCTCAATGTGTTTCAATAGCAAAAGGCAATCAGGCACTGGCAAGTCAAACATTATTCACTGAGACGGCGCTTTTGTGCATGGATTAACTCCGTGGAATTGATTCGAATTTGCTTATAACCAAACTATAAATGAATCTGCCAGTGGCCTTTTATGAGTGAGGGCTATTAATTTGTAGAAACTTCCCCTGGGGGATGAACAGCAAGTTGGAAACACATAGTGGTTATAATGGAGGCGGTGAAATAGACCGAACTCTGGGTTTGTATAGCAGGAGGACAATATCCTCTCTAAAAGTTCAGGAGTCCTAAGGACATGCTTTATGGTTTGTGACACGTCAAGCCCTAGTCTAAAAGATAGCATAATCTTTTCTTCTGAAATAAATTGACATTTTAAAAAGTTCGCATTGAAGCTTCATCCACTTATATACGAAAACATATTGCATTTGTGTTATTTGAGGTTGCTCACTGATTGGTATCCCAACAAATCAAACTCTCTTTAAATCTAAGACACTTATGCTCCTGCTATTCTACTTTGGTTAACCTGTCAGGCTCAGGATCAGTGGATTGTATTGCTTGCAGGATTGTTATACCTATTGGTGTAGACCTAAAGGTGGCAAGGCCAGAGGGAAAATAATTTTTTTTAGGAAACTCACAATTTGTGGATAGAATAATAAAATAACAAAGTGGGAAGGAACTTGGAGGTCTCTTAGTCAAACTTCCTGCTCAGGCAAGAGACCCTATACCATTTCAAACAAATTGTTCAATCTCTTCTCAAAAATTTCCAGTGATGGAGCACCCACAACTTGGGAAGCCAAGCTGCTCTGTTATGAAATTTATCCTTAGTCCTAGGTTGCTTCTCTCCTTGAATAGTTTCTGTTAGTTGCTCCTTGTCTTGCTTTCAGGTGCTTTGGAGATTAGGTTGACACCCCCCCCCCTCTTCTTTGTGACAACCCCTCAAAACTATTTGCGTAAAACTAGCATTCTCCTCTTGTAATCTCCTCCATACTCTTCTCCATAGCACTATGGATTCTGCAGAGTAGACAGCTGAGATGAGTTAACAGTAGGTCTTTTAGGGGCTTAGGTAACAAAATTCCTCATTTCAAATTTCAATTTCCCTCTGAAAGCTTCTATCCATTAATTCTTTTCCTACTCATAGGAATTTTGGATATGCAATTCACATCCTCCTGTTTGTAAAAGCCCTTCAAATACTAAAAAAAAATGTTCTCTTGCCTCCCCTCAGCCTTCTCTTCTTGAGGCTAAACATATCTAGTTTTTTAACTGTTCTTCATAGAATTTCACCCACAAGGCCTTCCACCTTCTTTGTTGCTCTTGTCTTCAGAATTTTAGAATTGGAGTATGGATAGTTTGCATAGTTTAGGGTTGATAAACTCACCCATGGATGGTGGACAGAGGGATAATCTTCCAATAGAAGACAAATGTTCTGATCAGGGACAGGTGAATAAATATGGCACTCATTTGGGCAAGCCTCCTCCTCAAAATGGAATAGCTATTTATTTTAACATAGATTGACATCCCTTTCTGGTTTAATATATATGGTGGCTACCATACTAAAGTTCAAACATGGATTACAATGCAGAAATAATATGGTGGCACAGTGGTTAGAGTGCAGTACTGCAGGCTAACTCATTGCTCAGTCCAGGAGTTTGATTTTGAGCGGCTCAAGGTTGACTCAGCCTTTCATCCTTCCAGGGGGGAAGGCAATATGGAGGCAATATGCTGATTCTATAAACCGCTTAGAGAGAGCTGTGAAGCAGTATATAAGTCTAAATGCTATTGCTGTTATGCTTAGGTTTGCAGTTGCCTTAAGGGCCAGTGACTGCAGTTCCAGCATTTTCCTGCCTTCCCCAAGGGAAAAAGAGACTGTTAAGCTTAGCTCAACTTGAGTTGTTTTCCAAGTAACAACATGGGAGTGAATTTTCTCACTTCCTCATTTACATAAGAGTTTTGAGATTTCCAAGTGGTCTCCAATCCAAGAATTAACTTGATCTGACCTGCTTAATTGTTGAAGATCTGATGGGTGCTACCACATAACTGCTGCACTCCAGAAGAATGTGACACAAAGAGGACCAATTTCCATTGTGGGAAGCCACTCCCCCAGAAGAAAAATATTTTGAGGAATATTTAAAAAGGCAGAATATTGTATTTCCCAAAGGGAGAAATGGAGAAACATGTTTTTAGAGGCAGAAAGTACCCCCCACTTTCCTTAATAGCCCACAGCAGATATCAGCACTTAAGAGATAAAGAACTTATTGAGAACTAGATATCTCTATTCATAGGCAAAGCAAATATTGCAGGCAGAAATCCATTCAAGACAGGATATTTTGAAATTCTCTGCAGCAAAGTCTGAACAAAGGTAGAGTGATGGGATTAACACTCATCCAAGAGCCAAAACAGGACAAAAGCCATTAAGCCACAATAGGAATTACCCAAGACCCTTTCAGAACACAAGCCTTCATTGCATCACCCTCAGAGCAGTCCAAACTTCAACCATACTTAGCTCAGACAAGCATCTAGGATTTTCATTTCCTCTTTTGCCTATGGAGCCAGCTATGACCCCTATATAACCCCTACATGACCCCGTAGGAATCTGACAACAGCCAATAGAATACATGTTCTTGCACAGGAACAGGAAGCTCAAGTGCAAAGCTTAAAGAAGCTATTTTTTAAAAAACTCTCTCAACTCCATTTTGTCAGCTGCACTAGAATCATGTGCTTGGTGGTTCTGTTCATCATTAAACCTTTTTTCCAACCATCCTCCATGTTTCCAGTGTTTTTCTCCCAGTTTGGAACTGAACCAGATGGATATTTCTTCCCACACCACCATGAAATAGGACAATGGTAGAATGAGATTAAGTTGGTGGATTTGTACCTGCCCCCTCCTTCCTCTCCACCTCTCTCACTTCCTCCCATGCCTTCCTCTGGCTTTTATTAGTATAAGAAACCAGGGCTCATGAATCTTACAGGAACAGCTTTCCTTTGAAAAGCAAAACCTTTGAAAATAGTTTCTTTCAAACAGCAGAACCAATTTCCTTTTTCCATAAGTGGCTTACTACCCAAGCAGACTTATATTTAGGTTGTACTGTAGTTCTGTGCTGAGCGCACACACAGGGACACAGAGAGAGATTTTTTTTAAATAAAAACAACAACAACAACCCAGAGCTTAATCTTCTTTATAGGAACCTCCAGGAGCTGCAATGCATTTTGAACAGCCAAAACCCTGAGCTGGAGCTCAGTGTTTAAATGCCTTGATTCATCTCTATTTATTTTGTTAAGCCATGAGCAAGCAGAAAATCTAGCAGTCAAATTGATGTGCTTGAAAGAGTCTTGGCAAGCCATCCATCAGCCAGATATTGATTAAGACCATTGCTGCAGCCATTTTGCACAGTAAGCCTTTATATTTTAGCCAGAGAAATCCTTGTGTAGATGTAAATTGACCTGTAAATGCCTTTTGTTTGCAGCAGGGAGGGGTAAATCAAAAGCGAGCTTTAATCCAAAGGAAGAAGACAAGACAGCAGACTTCAGACAAAGCATAAACCTAATAGTTAGGAAACACTCTCTAGAGGTGTTGAATTCCCATCATCCCCTGTTGCCTTGACCACGGTGTTTTGTGAGGTTGGCAAAAGCAAACCTATAGTTATTTCCTGTGGATCTTTGTCTTTGCTGGGAGGGTCTTGTGACGAGAGCAGAAATAGCAATTTATTGCTTTCAGCTTCAACTGCTACTCTCACTATGTCTTGCCAGATTAACTCCCAACCATCTGACACATTGCTCCCCTAGTTAAATGAGGTGTGGAGAACTTGTGGCTTTTCCTGTGATGCTAAACTACATTCTCACCTCTGATTGGGTGCTTTGGGTTGATGGAGGTTGTAGTTTAGCAGGACCTAACAGGTCACAGTCTCCCACACCACAAATTTCTCAAGCATCCCTGTCCTATTGTTTCTCTTATTCTTCTTTTATTTTTCTTATATGTACCCATTTCATGTATTCACAACTATGTATACACTTATACTTATTATCTTGTAAACAATTGGCAAATCAAATAAATAAATAAAATAAAGTCTTTGATCACATACAAAATTGTACTCAGGTTGCTTTCTCCCATTTATATGGGGAAGCCTTCCTATACAGTTTCTCTACTACAACTACCTACTGTTACCTACTGTATACCTACTATATATACCTACTCAAACCATTACAACCAGGAGGGAAAGTTTGACCCTTGGATGTCACTGTATTAAAACATTCTCTACTTTTTGCAGGCTGTGCATCTGAATGTTACCAGAATTTACCCAATGTAGCAACCCCGAGTGGAAAAGAAGGAAAGCTGAAGCTTTGAAAAATTTCCTGAAGGACACCTAATTGTAATTCCTACTTTGATTTCTCTGTAAAGTTTCTGAATGCTTCTGGATGACTACAGTGACAATTCCCTGACCTGCTGTCCAGATGATTGACTGGTTGATAATGTCTTTAATGTTTTGTCATGTTTTGCCAACATTGTTTTTAACAAATCCCAAGCAATTAAATTCACAGCAGATATGCAGGTCTTTATAATGCTAGAGAATGTGCTCAGAGCTGGTAGCCTGGCAGATGAAGGAGAAGGAGAGGGAGAGGGATGTCTGGCTAGAGAGGATGCCCAAGGATATCTGATTGTATGGAAATGGAAAAGACTTTGGTGTCAAATGTCACGTACAGAACTCTCCTCTATATAGCATTCCCATTTGTGCAGTGGGGATTTTGAACCAGGCTCTGTTCATTTGCCAAAACTTTCCTCCCTTGCAATTCCCTTTGTGACACATTACAGAGTGGCATCTGCAGAAAGCTGCTGGCACCAAGATGATGACACACACGCAGTGACCTCATCACACAAACACTGCCTTTACACCAAATGCTTGGCCCAATTGTGTGTGGTCATCACACATTTGTCTTCATTTGCCTCTTCTGTGGATGCTCATAATTGCTATGCCTTTGCTACATTCTGGTTGCACTATTTTTAGGTGGAATAAAGGGAATGACAAATTAGTTGAATGCTTTTTTTAAAAAATAAAAAAAAAGCAAGGGACTTTCTTTCCTCCAGTCTAACTGGTGATACTGGGCTACTAATGATGCTCTATTTTGCTGAGTTAACCAGCATGTGGGCTCTTTCCAAAGGCTGCAGCTCTCATCCTTTCCAAGCAGTTTGATCCAATATAACTGGGAAATACTATGTTGGGGGAAGTTGATTTGAGAAGGACATTTGTGCATCATGCCAACAGCAACAAATTAGCACATTTGTTCTCAAAAGTTAACCAAAGTTGGCTCAGTTCAGCAATTGGAATTGGAAGCATCTAGGAATTCCAAGGTTGTTGAGTAAATTGGAAAGTTGAAAAAAAAATACTCCAGAAGAAAACAATGACAAATCACTCCCCTAACACTGCCAAGAAAATTGCAAGTCTATTTCCATGAGGTCGCTACAGGTTGGATTAGGTTCAAGTGTAGCCTTGACCTTGGGCATTTTGCAGGAAATTAGTCCATATTTACAAATCATGGGACATGCCACCAGCAGACAGCTCGACAAGAAACAGAATACATTCATAATCTCTAGCTATCATCTTCCCTTGTTGAGAAGGGTCAATCCAAGGCCAATCCAATTCCAATATTAAGTATACTGACATATTTTTAATTTTTTTTTTAAACTTCTGAGCTCCAGACTGGAATGCCTTTAGCAATCTGGAAAAGGATCAAGAGCAGCCTTCCAACTCAGTTGTTTTGCTTTCCATCTTCACCTTCCCCGCATCTTGTCATTATCCTAGATCCCCATCACCACTACAGAATCCATTAGATTCTGATTTAATCCATGATCTCATCTATCTATTATCACTTGAATTATATTTACTTGCCCAGTAAAACTTGAGACTTCAGCTGGTGCATCAAAGAGCAATCTAGGAAATTTCTGGTTGCCATTTCAATTTAGCCAGGACTTTGCACGTCATTAGGCTATTCCCAAGGCTACCTTTCATCAGATGCAAGCAATTATAATAAAGGTGAATATTTAAACTTAATGCCTAAGTATACAGTATTAAGGCATACAGTCCTTTTGGAAATAATCTACCTGTTGACTGAAAAAAAACCACTGCAAAATGTTAGGCAAAAATGCTGCAGCCTTATATAAAGATTAATATTGAGAACCAGTTCAATCTAATGGTTAAGGTACCAGGCTAGAAACTAGGAGATTGTGACTTCTAGTCCTGCCTTAGGCATGAAAGCCAGCTGGGTGACTTTGAGCCAGTCGCTGCCTCTCAGCTACCCTTCTCACAAGGTAGTTTTTGTGGAGAAAATAGGAAAAGGAAGGATATTAGGCATGTTCACATATATATATATAAATAATAATAAAGATGAGATTTTTAAAAAGCTTTAAAAGTTTCTGCAAGGGAATCCTACATTGTCTTACAAATAAATAAATGACCTCCACCCCACTCCCAGGACAGAAGTGTGACGCATCCACAAATATTTTTTTTATTGTGGTTTCTTTCAAAATATTAAAGAAAAAGATGCTTGCGCCATTGATACGAAATTTCCTGAGTGGGTTGCTCAGCCATTTGTCCTTTAGCATCTTTCCACCTGGATACATGTTCCTCTGGACTGAAAACACTTGAATTAAATTGCCATGGGAAAAACCGTGAAGCCAAATATGTCTCCCTTCTTTTGTTCTTCCTCTCCCGCATTGTTTCAAGCATCTTCTGCCAGTTGAAGGGCCAAGAGTAAATCCCTCTGCACCATAGAGAAATCAAGGAAAGTGTCAGACCAGGGGTGTCCAACCTTGGCAACTTTAAGACTTGTAAACTTCAACTCTCAGATATACTTAGCCAGGGGCATTCTGGGAATTGAAGTCTACAAGTTTTATAGTTACCGAAGTGGGATACCCTTGAGTCAGAACAAGAAACCCAGAGCTAGAAATGTTCTCTTTCTCTTCCTCAGAGAGTAGCTGGGCATAGGACAATAGACTTGTCTTGGTTCTATTGTGCAGAGTTGAACTGTCCCATCTTACTGACTGAAGGCAAACCAATAGTCGCACTGGGCCTACTTTACTCATTTTTTAGGTTCTGTGCTTTTCAGTGAGAATTGAAGCTGTAGAAGAAAGAGTTAAGCATTCCTTTCCCCCATAAACTACAGTCTCCAGAATCCTCTTCTCCTATGGGTCAGCTGGGCTTATTATAATAGTAGTAAGAGAAGGTCAGAATGGGACAATTTGGGGCAGTCAATTTGCTATAGCCAACTCACCACAGCCAACCCCATTGTGGGACAACTCACTGGGGGCGGCAATTCAACAATTCAAATATTTAAAATAATCAAAATATTTAATTTTTGTCATTCTCATTTCATTTTGTCCCTCCTTTTGCATCTTTTCTTTAATGATTCTATTCCACCACTTCTTTGATATTAGTGTAACTCTTGTCCTGCAGCGAGTTGACTGTGGCGAGTTGTCTTACAGCAAGTTTGCCACAACAAATTGACTGTGGTAAGTTGGCTGTGGCAAGTTGTCCTAGACCCAAAGAAAATATTATTTAAGTTTAGCTGATGTAGGAGGAAAAAATTTATGGGGGCACAGATGCAGAAGAAAGAGTATCCCCCCCTCTTTCTATGAAAGCAATCGTATTTTGGAATATATTTCTCCCTATGGCCATTTCAAAAGCACTGCCAGGAATACTTTTGGAAAGCTTAGCTTGAATTGTTCAAGGGAAATGGCAGCGAGAAGGAAGGGTTGATTAACTGTTCCTCCCTGCATGCTGCAGCACCCTAAAATATCCTCTCTGCTAAACACACACTTGTAAATAAAATCTTCCAGCTGGAACCCTATATAGAATGGTTGCCTTAAAATATGGGAATGGGGGGGGGGGGTTTGGGGTTGTATTTCAAGGCACCTAACTTTGGTTATATTGTTCTTTTTTAAAGAATAAAAGTTGCTGTTTCTCAAAGTTAAAGGCTGATCGGAAAGGCTGCATTGTGGAATGTGTCTGTGTGGTCTCTCGGTTCAAGCGCTGTTCTTCCCAAAGGAAAGCATTGTACCCTCAAAAGAGAAAGTGCAAGGTTTTTGTGTAAGGTTTTTTTTAATAGTGGTAAGTAGGGTTTTTTGGATAATAAAAAGTGACAGCCCTATTCTTCTCATTCCAAGCTGTGGAACAATGCCACCGCACACACATACTTAGGGGGACATAATAGCCGGCACTAGCTTCAGGGCCTCCAAAATGCTGCAGAAACACAGATGAAATTTAAAAAAGAAAAGAAAAGCAGGCCAGGATTCCTGTGGTTCTTTAAAGCTTGATTAACCCAAGTTGCCTTGCATGTACAATTTCTGGAAGCAAGCTCTTGAACTGTGCAAGTGTTGAATATTGTAATTATGGGAGTACATAATGTGGTACACATTATGACGCTCACTTAGCACTTGTCTAACACATTTAAGGCTTTATATACAGGGCCTTAGTCATGCTTAAATGGTCCCACTGAAAGAAGGTCCAATATTATTATTATCACATATATAGTTGCAACTTAAATTCCAATTTATAAACTGGTTCCAGAAAATCCTATGGACAATCTGGAGTGCAAAGTTAATCGCATGTCCCTCAAGTTTGTTTTTTTTTTAAAATCTATATACACTATGCCAGTTTTGTGCGTATTTATGACATATGGATAATAAGTTAAGACTTGTGTGGTTAATGCCTAACAAATAATGTAGCTCTTTCATAAGGTGGCAGGCCTCTCTCAGTGTAACTTGCTTGTTGCTATCTGATTTAAAGGTTGTCTGCCACATAAAGACAACTCTGATAGCTTACTAATCCATATATTAGTCATTGGCTGGAAAAAAATGTTTGCACAATTCTTGCAAATTGCATCAGGGAACCCACGTAGGATCATAGCAAGTTTAATTTTGAATGTATAATGAAGTCTCTATTAAAGCCTTTTCTTTGCCTATTTCCATACCAGTGTTAAATGTATACGCCTCTGTTTCTCTCCCTCCCTCAGCTATCAGTTTTAGTCCAACAACCAAAAAATAAAAAAGCACAGTAAAGTTCAGGCTGATGAATTTTGCAGACATCAGATTGGACAGATGGGTATTGCAGTCCCCATTAAGTTCCAGTTCATTTCATTTCTGGCAGCTAAAAGATGGAGCAGAAATGACACATTGTAAACCATTTTTTTCCTTTGGTATATGATCTGCATTTTTAAGCAATACCGCTATAAAATCTTACAAAAATAAAATGGATGCCTTTGAGAAAATAGTCTAAAATAGACCTCTGTCAAAACCTCTGGCATCAACAGAACAAGTTTTCTGTACAATATTGTTTTCTGTCTAGTCACAGCATTGCACATCCCTCTTCTTTCTCCCTCCCTACTTCTTCCTGACAGGAGATTATCACTGAAGGAAAAGCATTGCTAGTAATAGAACATAGACTAATAGAATTGGAAGGGACCTTGGAGGTCTTCTAGTCCAACCCCCTGCTCGAGCAAGAAACCCTATACCATTTCAGATAAATGGCTGTCCGGTCTCCATTGATGGAGCACCCACAACTTCTAAAGACAAGCTGTTCCATTGGTTGATTGCTCTCACCGTTGGGAAATTTCTCCTTACTTGTAGGTTGCTTCTCTCCATGGTTTCTTGTCTAGCCTTTTGATGCTTTGGGAAATAGTTTGACCCCTTCTTCTTTGTAGCAACCCCTCAAATATTAGAATACTGCTTGTCATCAAATCTGATCACGTTGCCAACTTCAAAAGCCAATACAAAAATCTATGCCACCAGATAAAAACTGAATGCACTAATTATCACATTAAACAAAAGGAAAACCTTCTACACACCAATTCCACCTGTGCTTTCTACAATTTTGTAAACAACAAACTAAAAGACTCAAGGTCCATCCCACCCCTAAAAGAACCAAATGGTAAAGACTGCAATGATGATACCATTAAAGCCAACCTCTTTAACACATTCTTTGGCTCAGTATTTGTAAACAGCAATGGATCATGCCCAGCATTTCCTAGTCGAACCA